TTTTTTTTTTTTTTTTTTGGTTATTTTTATGGCTATTTTCATTCATTGGTCGGTGTGTGTGTGTATTTGATTGGTTGGTCAGTTGGTTGTTTATGCGAATGTTGACAAACAAAATTGACCACACAAAGAGAGAGAGAGAGAGAGAGAGAGAGAGAGAGAGAGAGAGAGAACATATAACATATTCAGAATTTTATGAAAGAAACAAACAAACAAACAAAACGAATGATGATCATCATTATAATGATTATCATGAATTGTACGGGAATTTTTACGGGAATTCTTTTTTCTGTTTTACAGGAAAGTTTTTTTTTCTTGCTTCAGACCAGCAATATCCAGCAATTTGTTACGTTTGTTTTGTTTCTTTTGGTTGATTGCACATTGTATTGATTATTTATGATGATAATGACCATAATTTTTTTGTTTTATCAGGATATTATCGTCATCATCATCATCATCATTAGTGTTCGACCCGGAAATTATGCCCGACCAGGCATTGAAAATAATGAGGAACAAAAAAATATATTTTGTTAAGTGTGTGCGAGAGAGAGTGAAAATTAGTTTCCGGGAAATTTTTTTTCTCCATATTTATCACAATCAATCAATCAATCTATCGATTACACCGATTCAAGTTGAAAAATTTTACAGCAGCCAAAAAACCAAAAAATTTTACGTAAAAAAATGTAAAATTTTTCACAAGAGAATATTTAAAATATCGATAATGATTGATTGGAAAATTTTTTATTGTTGATCAAAGAATGTGTCAAATGATGACTTTCGAAAAAAACCGAAAAACAAAAAAAAAACCAATAAAAATTACCGTTTGAAAATCATATGTACTCCACCCATTTGGTTGTTTTTTCATTCCTTGATTGGTTTATTGGCCAATTTTTTTCCATTATTAATGATAATCATTTGAGAGAGTGAACTAAACAAAAACAACAAAAACAATAAAAGTGAGGGACGAATGAGTTTACAGCGATTCTCGATTCTGGTCACAAATTTTTTTTGCCTACCGACAGAATTTCTCCGTACAACCAATCTGTGTAGAGAAGAAGATTGGATTCTGTTTCTGTTGCTAGAAAATTACACAATTTTTTAATGTAAGGTTTGCGTGTGTGTGTGTGATTGCGGTCAATGTTTATATTTTCATATAATACACAAATGGTGATAAACTGGTGAAATTATTTTCCAAACTAAGAAAAAGGGGTGAAAACAAAAGAATAATTCTTCTTCTTTTCTTTGCTTTGCCTAAAATATCGTTTGATATTGTTAATGGCTTTTTTCCAAAACAAATTTTCTCTCTGTTATTATTAGAAATTCAATAGAATTTCAAACGTAGACGATGATGATGATGATGTGTGATTAAGTTATTAAAAGCAAAAGCAAAAAAGAGAGAAGAGAAAGATTAAGTGCGATACATTAAAAGTAACATATCTATGATGTAAGGGAAAAAAATAGATACACTTTACTTTACTATGTTTCAACGGTGGGAAATATTCTTCTGCTTTTTTTCTATACCCGACGAAGAATAAGTCTGTGTGAGGGGTGATGGTAAAGAATCGTGTATGCCACTTAATTTTTTTTTCTCTTAAGTTTTTTTTTGCCATTCGGCGTTAATGACAATTTTTTTTCTCTGTTTGTTTGTTTGTTTTTACATTACATCCATAGTAAATGATAGGAAAAAACATTGACAGCTTTTTCGTTAATTACTGCGAATAATTTTTTTGTTTTGTTTGTAATTTTAAAGTTTTGTAATTTTGTAATTTTTTTTTCTCTCATTTGCAGATAAAATCATCATCATCATATAATTTACAAAAACTTCCGAAAAACAAAACAAAACAAAATGACCGCTAACAAAATAAATATTAGTAGTAGTAGTGGTGGTGGTGTTGCGGGTGCGGGTGACGATGATGATGATGATGATGATAATAATAATAATGAAAATAATAATTATCGTTTACCAAAATTTGAGCTAATGAAATTTAAAAATAAAAATCCTTCCATCGATCATCCAAGCCATAAACAACAAACAACATTATTTAATGATAATAATCCGATGAACATTGATAATAATCATGGCCATCATCATCCAAAACATTCAAAACAAAAAAACAAATCAATGAATATTATTAAGGATAATGATGGCCATAATGTAATTACTAAATGTGATCCATCTTCATTATCATCCAAATCATCATCCAAAACAACAAAAAAAGATTCGAATAGATGTCATTCAAATATAATACTAAAACAACGTTATCAAATCAGGAATCAGGAGGAAACACGAATGGAACAACAACAAGAAGAAAAAAATCAAAAATTTTCCATTTGCAATAATATTCATGGTGATGATGATAAAGCTCAAAATAACAAAGGAAAAACAGTGCCCAAAACATCATCCGATTCTTCCAAAATTGATGATACAGGTACCGAAAAAATAAAAAGTCCAAGATCACGATCCAGGCAACGAACAAACGTTCCACATCATGATAAACAATATTTGAATCAAAAACAAATATCACCATCATCATCATCGAACAAAACAAATCGTCATTCATTGAATAATAATTCAAGGAAAATTGATGATTTTTGCCATGATAATCATTGTCAACAAAATAATGATGATCATCAAAAACAACAATCAACCGATATCGATCATAAACAATCGATTTCTTCAACAACAACAAAATGCTTAACGAAGAAAAAATCCAAAAATAAAATGATTGATAATGAAATAAATCCAGCAGAAGCAGATTTTGATTGCAATAATCAATATGTTGATCAACCACAGCAACATGAACCATTATCACAAGTGCTTGTTACATTAAAATCACAGAATCAAAATCTAATCAAAGAAGTTGAAGATTTACGTATAAAATTGGAAGATGCTGAAGGTAAGATTGTAAATCACATAAATTTGATTGATAAAAAACAAAACAAAAAAAAATCTAATCAATCGATCTGATTGATTGTTTTGCACAATCAAATTCGTTTCGTTTGTTTGTTTATTCACTGATTGATTGATTGATTGATTACAATTCTTGATTATCGAATGATTATTCGAAGAATTTCCTTTCCAATCATCATCAGTCCAAAATATTTATCGGTCGAATAATTTTTTTTTCTCAAACAACTAATATCGGTCTATTTTGTTGTTGTTGATTGCGATCGGTCAATATTTGTTTTTGGCTTTTCTCAGTAACTAAAAACACCGAATACACAGGCTATATACACAGGTTTTGAATTTTTTCTGGACCCAAAATCATCATTATCACCATCCTGGTCATCATTTCTACTTCTACAACCAGAAACCCATATTCATTCACAACATAACCTTATCAACTTATAACCGCTACTTTCAAACTAACTCCATTCATTATTATTTATTGTTTTTCATTTTCATTATTATTTTGGATCTTCTGGAACAACACCAAAATAAATAAAATCGAAAACAAAAAAAAATTGAAGAATTCTCTATTCGCCTGTTTTCTCTCTCTCTCTCTCTCTCTCTCTCTTGCTTTGTTCATATCGGGTGTAAAGAATATTCTTTTTCAAACGAAAAAAAAAAAATAGAAAAGAATCGATAATAATAATGATGATGATGACGATAAAAAAAAAGTGAAAACTAATAAAAATGATGATGATGATGATGATAATAATAAAAATGAATGATAATCTATTGTGTGATGAGCAATGAAAACACTGAAAAGAAGAACCTGAAAAAAGAACCAGAAAGAAAAATTGCTTTTTTTTCCTTTGAAAAAATGCTAAAGGAGAATATTACATGGATCGTAAAACTAAAAAATTATTACCCAAAAAAAAAGAAAATCAATTGAAGAAAAAAAAGTTAAATAAATCACTTCTTTCTGTCTGAATGTCATGTATGCCAAAGAAAAAAAGAAATTCAAACATGCATAATATTCATTGAGAATGAAGAAAATTGATTAAAATACATTTTTTTATTTCCATTTTGTTAATTGATCGATTTGTATAATTGGTCGATATATTTTCGATCATCATCAGGTTCGGTTTACGCCATCAATCGTTACCATATTGTATTTGTCAAAATTCATTCATTTCATATGCTAAATAATTGAAATAGTAGTTGTTGTTTGAGTTTGATTTTGTATTGCATCAATAATTCCTAATATGTTACTAATACATTCATCAACATTCATATCGATGTTGTTTGGTCGATTATTGTTGTGGGCTGAATTTGTATTCGATCCCGATACATTCATTATTTGTTGTTGTTGTTGATTAAAATCACGTATCATTTCATTCATCATATCCTCCCAATTGGTTGTCATTGCTCCCATTTTTGTTGTTGTTGTTGTCGATGATGTTACCATATTTGACATTGTAGACATTGTTGTTGTTGTTGACATTCCATTCATTATTTGTGAAATTAAATCCGACCAATTACCAGTTGTCATTGACTTGATTTGCAATTAGGAAAGAAAAATTTAAGAAAATTTGTAAAAAGTTTCATCATTATCAATTATACCTGATTATCACCATTAATAGCATGATCAAAATCAAATGTTGTACCATAATCAGGCATTGATGTTATTCGAGTTTGATTGAATAAACGATCCCAATCAATTTCAGCTATTGTTGATCTTCGATTATTTGCAATCGTTGATTCGGTTGTTGTTGTTGTTGATGATAGATTAGCCATACCAATTCTATTGCCTATATCAAAAAGGAAAAAAGTATTTCTTTAAAATAAAAATCAGTTAGAAAAATCCGATAAAAGTTTTTACCATGTAAATCATTTTCAATATGATATAATTGTTGTGATATTTGTACTAAAAGTGAAACAATTTGTGTTAGAACTGGTATAATTTCATCATTATTTGTCGATGTTGATGATGATGATGGTTTTGTTGTTGTTGATAATATCAAAGGATAACATTTTGAATCATCAAAACGTCTTGATTGACTTAGATAATTAGCTAAACGTATACGTATACAATCTAAACGATTCAATTCATTTTGTATATTATTATTCAACAATAATGTTGGATCAATTGAATTTTCAAAATGTTGTAATATAAAATCAATACGTTTAATTACTTGTATTAATATTTTACGAAAATTATTATCCTGTAATAATAATTGATCATTTTCAATACCATCAACCATATCGGTAAGTAAATCGATTAATTGATGTAATAACCATTCTAATTCGTTCATTGTATCGGTTAACATACGTTGTTCCATTGTAATATTATTCAATGATGTTGATGATAATGATCTTGATATTGATTTTTGTTTTATTTGATTGTCACGCAATTTATCAATCGGTAATGTATAAACGGTTGAAATTATTATTATCAAAAATATGATAATATTTATCGATGAAAAAGCCGCCATCATTGAATTGTAGTTGTCGTTGTCGTTGTCACGAGAAAATCGATATTTGAATTTGATATTCTCGTTTTACCATTTTTTTCGTCACTATTTATATACGAAATGTTTGATTTTTCTTTCGCCAGTCATATTTTTTTTTAATATGCAAATGTAAATGACCTGGGCTGACAGAAAAAAAAATCAAGCAGGTATTTTATTTTTCCAAAATTGACTGATGATGGTTTGATTTTTGAATTGAATCTTTTGAAAAAAAACAATGCTGGTTATAATCTTCTTTTGATTAACATTAATTTCCTGATACATTATCAATATTGTTTTTGTTTTTGCTTTATTTTTAAACCAGGCGATCTAAAATTAGTACAATGTCAAATGAGACAGATATCCAAACAACAGTTGGATAAATCAAATCATCAAAAAATTCAATTGGATTTAAATCAACAGATAAATTGTAAACTACAAGAACAACAACAACAACAACAATTATTCAATGAATTCAATATCAATCTATTTGATGAAATTGAATATTTAAAGGAAAAAATTTTATTACTTGAAAAAGATTTACAAATATTAATGGATGAAAAAAATGTTATACAATTATCAAGAAATGAATTAAAAGAAAAAAATGATCAACTAAATCAGCAATTAATTTCAATGCTACAATTAATACCCGAAACAAAAATAATGGAACATGAAAAGAACAATCAAACGAATGATTTGGATAAACTTTACAGGGAAAATAGGTAAATTTTACGGAAATCTTTTTGCCGGGAAATTTCTAATTTGAAAAAAAATCAATGTATTTTCTTTCTTTCTTATTATATTTGTAGATATCTAAAAGAAAAGATTAAAAATAATAATGATGAAAAATCAATATTATTAAAACGTTTATCAACATATCAGGATATTTGTCAGAAGAAACATCAGAATTCTTTATTACAACAACAACAACAACAACTACATTCAAATCATGATGTTCAAATAAGTAATTGTGATATTGCAGATCATTATCATAGCCAATCATCATCATCATCAGCCGATAACAACAGGATATTTTCACCACCACCACCACAACCACCATCATCCATATCATTATTATCATCATCATCAACATCAACATCATCAACAATAACAACATCCAAAACTATTGTGCCTTTTATAATGACCAATATGGATAATATTTCTTTAAAACATAGTGGTCATAATAATAATACTGATAATATTGTAATAGGTGATGTTATTGATGATGATGATGATAAAACACAGACCAAATTGATTGTTAATAAAAATTCAATGGAAAAAAATATCTTAACAACCACAACAACGATGGATCCAACGTTATTACCATCAATGACAAATATTATGGATATGATCGCAACAACAACAACAACAACAACAACGACGACAACAACAACAACGGCTACAACAACAACAAAATTTCATTTATCCGATGGTCATATTATTGATCAAAGTGATATTGAACAAATGATTACATACAATATGATCAATAAAATGGAAGTTAATAAATCAAATCAGTTATATCTTTGGGAGCTATTAACGGCTATATTTCAAGGTATAATGTTTTTTTTGTTTGTTTGTTTGTTTTTTGTTCGGAAATCTTTTTTATCAACCGAATAATATCCTGGGCCATGTTCGGTCTGTTCAATTTAGTTGTTGTTGTTTTCGTTGTTGTTGTTGTTGTTGTAAGTGCCAAGTATAATATTTTCAACAAAATGAACAACAACAACAACAACAAAAGACCAATCCATTCAATGTAGAAAGAAAGAAAGAAATTCTTGAAACTTGAATTGACTTTTGTATATAGTGTGTGTGTGTTGTTATTGACCATTCTTTTCATTATTCGCAGTACTGAAGTGAATAGGAACAAAAACAACAACAACCAAAAAAAAAGAAAAGAAAATATTCTTAATGGCTGACTACATTGTAATTCGGTTAAATTATTTATTTACTTACTTAAATTGATTTATCTTTTGTTTTTTTTTCTTTCTCTTTCTTTTTTCTATTATTCTTTTGAAACGAAAATTTCGTGCCTTGAACGATAACAACAACAACGAAAATTTGGCTTTTTTCTACTTCTCATTACTTTCTTTCTTTTTTTTGTTCGTTAAAATTGATTCATTCGAACAAAGGACTACGAATAAAGAATATTAATTTACAACAAGCAAAACAAACTAATGAAACATTAGGTAAACGAATAGCAATATTGGAAAGAAAATTGGCTGATAATGAAAAATCAATGAAAAAATATTCGGATGATGAAAATTATTCTCATTCTCATTCTCATCATCATTATCAAAGATGTCGCCATAATGAACATTCATCGTTTATTGATCAAACAAATTACATTGGTAACAATCCGATTTCATTTCAAAAACAAAAACCAATTACAAATCAAATAAGATTATCAAGCGGTTCAAGTCCAATATTGACAACAATAACAACAAATCCATCCATAATGGATATAGATGTTTCAATGATGGATTTATTATCATCATCATCAACAACAACACCATTACCATTACCATCATTATCACCATCACCATCAACATCATCATCGATAATGAATAAAATTAATAATCCAATGTTATCATCATCACCATTGAATCTATATTCAAATAATGATGATGATGATCATTTTGAAATGTCCACAATTGATAGTGATATTATTGGCCATCATCTTGGCCACTTCCATCATCATCCTCCTCCTCATCATCATCATCATTTTCAAATGTCTCCGAAAATCAATGGTGGAATCGATGACATTGATGATGATGATGATGATGGTCGTACAAATTCATTACCAACAACAACAACAACATCTACAACAACAGCAACAAATTTAAATAAAGATATTATTGATGATGATGATAATGAATTATTAGATGATAATAATTACACTTGTCCATTATCATCATCATCATCATCATTATCAACAACAATTGTTAAAAATATTGGAACAAAAACAACAACAACAAGAAGACATCATTGTCAACAACAACAACAACAATCATCACCAACAAATAGTATTGAAAGACAATTATTAGATTTACAAAATGATGCCCTTCAAGATTCGCCCTTGTCAACAATGACAATACAAACAGAAGCAACAACAACAACATCCGAAATATTAAACAATTTAAATATTATCGATGATGCTTCATATGATGTTAATTTATCAATTGCAGCAGCAGCTGAAGCTGCTGCTGTTTCAAATGTTCCATTCAATTATGATCTAATTCATCATCATCATCAACAACAACAGCAATAATCAAAAAAAAAACTTTTAAAATTGATTTTGGTGTGCATGTTTTTTCTGTGTGTGTGCAATGTGTGCGTTTTCTGTAATAACTTTTCAACCAAATATTAATTTACAGAAACAAAAATAAACTGAATTTTTTCTACCCAATACCTATATAAAAGATACCTGAAAATATTATAAATATTTATTTATTATAACAAAAAAATCTCTCTGTGTTTTGTGAAATTTGTTTGTCAATTTGATTGTTTTTTCTTTTTGTTTGTTGAATTTTTTTTTTTGAAATTAAAAAATTTTTCTATAAAAAAAACAGAGTTTTTTAAAATTTGATTATCAGATTCCTGTGGAATTCAGTCATCATTTCTCGAGTTTTATTCTCAATTCATTTTCCCCGTTTTTCAACACTTTCATTTTCGTTCGTTTCCTTGTTTTCCTGAAACAATTTCCGTTTATACTTGTTTCAGGCTAATGATAATGAAACGAAACAAAACAAAAAAGTTAATCATTCGATTTTGACGTCATCATCATCATTATCACAATGTTTCTTGTCTTCTTCCGGAAAAAAAATTATAGACCAAAATTCTCGATTTATGTACAGTGATGATAATTTACGTTTAAATTGGTGGAACATAGCAAATTTCACTGAAAAAGAAAAGGGGAAAAACAAAAGCTGAATCGATTTTTATAAATCGATAAACATACGTGAGAAATATTGGAAAAATCGAATGTAATGTACTTGCAAGATATAATACCAACTTCGAACAACAACATTGTATAAACAAGTGGAATATTTGTTGTTTGTACCAGGAAAAGCAAAAAGTTTACCAAAAAGACTTTTTCGGACAAAATGAATTTCATTCGAGTATTTTTTGTTTGTTTGTTTGTTGTGATCAAAGAGTTGTGTTTGTAAGTTGGAAATGTGAAAAAAAAACAAACAAGCCAGAAATACCCCAATGATCATCATTAATGATGTTTGTTTCGGCTATCCAAATAATTACCATCAAATGAGCAAAATAGTTGAAAAAAGTTTTTGTTTTTCACTTTTGTTGTTGCCCAATCCATTACATTTCGATTTCGACATTTTGGTTACCACCTAACCGAACCGAGAAACAACGGGAAAAACAAACGAAAACAAGAAACAAAAATCAATAAACCCCGATCCATTTAGTTTAGTTCAAGGATCTTTTAGTTAGGATTCAGGTTTCTTCTATCTCTCATTTCTTGATGAAAAAAAAACTTAACAATTTATTACCGAACAGAATTTGGTGATGAAAGGAGAAAAACTTTATCAAATTCGATTTTGCAATTAAATCAACAACAACAACAAAAAAAAGATGATGATTTCATTTTTGAAATGAAAAATGAAAAAAAAATGAAATTAATAACAATATGCCATCACTATGGTGAATTATTATCATCAAAAACACCCGAACCGACATTTGCCGAAACTATTTTGTTGTCGTTTACTTTATACCCACCAATCAGTAATTGCAAATGTCAAATTTACAAATTGACAATGACATTTTTTTTTCTCTCCAACTTTTCAATTTTCTTTGTTCAATTTTCTTGAAAAAGGTTAACAATTTTGACAATTTTTTTACGTTTCACACACACACACACACACACACACACACACACACACACACACACAGAAGAAATTCAGTCAAAAAAATGAAATGAAAAGCCAATGGCAATTGTGGTTTTCTGGTTGGAAATTTTCTTTTTCTCGGTACTGCTATTACGTAATTCCACATTTGGTGGTTGATGATTGGCTGGTGGTTTTTGGNCAATTTTGACAATTTTTTTACGTTTCACACACACACACACACACACACACACACACAAGACACAGTTTGCTGACTACATGCCCTCCCGCCTTAGTGTTTCCCTTGCATTGGCGGGCAGTGGCAACTTCTCCTTAGGACACACACACACACACACACACACACACACACACACACACACACAGAAGAAATTCAGTCAAAAAAATGAAATGAAAAGCCAATGGCAATTGTGGTTTTTGGTTGGGAATTTTCTTTTTTTTCTCGGCACTGCTATTACGTAATTCTACATTTGGTTTGATGATTGGCTGGTGGTTTTTGGTGTATGACATGTATATAAACAATGTTTTTTTGTTTTTGCTGGATTCTTCAAACCAACCAAAAAAAAAAAAGAAAAGGAAAAAACATTATGGAATTCAGATGAATAAAAAAGACAAGAATCATTATCATTCAGTCAATGCTTCTGGCCATTATTCATGTTGTCATTGTGTTATTTTTGTTTCTGCCAAAAAAAATCATAAATCTTTAAACAAAAAAAAAAAAAACAAAAGTCAAGATAACCATATCGATAAGAAAATGTTTCAGAAAAAAATTCTTATATTTTTCATAAGAAATGTAAAAAAAATGTTTTCAGTTGCTAAAAATAAACTTTGAAAAAAAATAACATTCATCATAATCAATGGGCGTAAATGACCCGAATACGATTCCACAGCAACGACGATGATGAAGAATAAATTTTCTTGAATTTTTTTCAAGAAAAAACAAAGTTTTTATCAAAATAAGAAATAAAATATTATGTTTTTCGGTTGTTGTTTGAAAATATCAAATTTTCTTTGAATGTCATTTTTTTCGATGAATATGCTTTTTATGTGTTTGAAAATTGTTTGGAATGTTTTATATTCGTCGAAATAAATTCTTTCAAGTTTTGTAAATGAATCTATTCACATCAAAACATTTCATTTGAAAGCCTGAAAAAAATGAAAGGATAAAAGCAACAACAACAACAACAGCGTCTCATTTTTCATCATCATCATCATCATCATCATCAATGTCCACCATCTGAATCCAAACAAAAAAATATCAGAAGAGAAAAGAAGGAGAAAAATTCATTTTCTTTTTCTCGGTCTATATTCTATTATGGCCTGCCGTCCATGGAAGATAAAGATGATAAAATTTATTCTATAATAGATTCTAATATTTCGAAAGAAGAATGAAGAAGAGTAATAATCATAAATAATTTTCAGTAGTTATATATTTTGTTACAACTATTGTCATCATCTTCATCATCTTGTCATTAGCAAGTTATTATTATTTATTTTATTTGATTTCATTATCATCATCATCCGACGGCTACTGATAATTTCCATTGTAGTATTCCATTCTTTTTCTAATTGAGTTTTTTTATCAGAAAAAGAAGCAAATGGAAAGAATATATTTTTATTCATAACAAGGCCGACAGAATTTAGGAATAGGAGAATTTTTCTGCAGCAAATTGTAATTGCAGAGAATATTCTGTATCTAAAATAGAAAAATTGAAAAAAATACAAAGCTTGTCAAAGTGAAAAAAAAGATTTAATAAAAAAATGAGAAATTCAGTGAAAAAATGACAAACAATATTTTGACAGGAAATTGATTTCCGACAATAATAATACTATTCGTATAATAATAAAATATCGATAGTATCGATATCAAAAAAGGAATACAAAAGAAAATGAAAACAAACAAACAATGACAATGACAACAAAACAGACACAAACAAAAAGAATATTTTTCTTTTTTTTCTATTCATTTAACGAATAAGGAAATGTAATGAAGTATCAGATACGAAAATAATAAAGAATAAAGAATTCAGAATAAGAATCCAGAATTCAGATAAACTTTTATCGTATCATTATCATTATTATTATGTAATGATGGCCTTAACCTATGGCGATTGAAGAAAGAAACAAAACGAAAAAAAATATTTGTCAGTCAAAGATTCAGATTAGATAATAAGATTCCATAAAGATATATAACCACCAATGAAAATAAACAATACAAGAATTTATTATTATAAATGAAGATAAGGCACAAAACGGAATATTTTTTCTTTTGGTTTGGAATTTTTTGCCTCTTTTTCCTTTCATTCAGGACATTTTTTTTGGTGGTGGTTGGCTGGTTGTGGGTGGTGATGGTGGTGTAAACACCTTCAAGAAAAGCGACAACAAAAAAAAAAACAAAACTTGTCTTTACTTTTGTTTGTCATGTCTATGACAACTTTTTGTTGTTGTTGTTGTTTTCTCTATATATTTTAACATCTTGTTATTTTGTTCACAAAACATATATTGTGAAATTATTAGATCAAACAAGGGAATAACAATAGTGAGAAAAAACATTCGATTCCGCATAAGAATCTTTAGCAGAAAAGAAAAGAAAGATTCCATGAATAAACAAGGAAAAAAAATGGCGACAAAAAAAGAAAACCGAAATGGAATGAAAATGGAACAGAATTCCAGAAGAAAAAAAAAGAATAATTCATTCATTTTCTGCCAAGTGAACAAAATGAATCGTAAACATCTGTCAATCGGTTATTTTCAATCATTCATTCCATTCATTCAATCAGTTTTGTTTTTGTTGTTGTTTAACAAATTTCTTTTTGAAAAAAATAAATTTGTTCATGTTTCTTTTGTGAATTCTGTAAATGTTTTTTGTTGTAAATTTTCAAATGTATTTTTTTTTGTAATCAATGTTATCGAGAAAAATATTTTATGTATAATAATTTCTATTCCATAATTTACATTATAAAAAATGGAAATTATGGAATAGAAATTCAATTTGTTTATTTTGATGTTAAAAAAATATATGATAAAGATTTTTTTGGTCTTACTTGGCAATATATCTTTTTCGATCAAGAGTGGTGGAGGATCATCTTTACTTTTATATTTGTTATATTGAACATCTCACCGAAAACCAAACAAACAAAACAAAAAAAAACAACAACATCCATTTGACAGCTGATTGTGAAACAAAACAAAAGCAAATCACTTGAAAAAAAAATTCTGGATATAACGAAATTTTCGAATGAATTTGATTGAATCGAATGAAATCGTTTCAATGTTTATTTGTTTATTGTTGAGATTTGCTGCTGTCTTGTTTTTTTTTGGTTAGAATTCTTCTTTCTCGTTTTCTGAAGATGATGAAATTCTTTTTTTCCCGTTAACGGGAAAATATTTTCTGGTTGACATATGGCTCGATACGAAATGGGAAAAAACATTTTTCGATTACATTGCATTAATGTGTTTTTTTGTTTTTGGGGTTAGTTGTAAACGATGATGAAAAAGTTTATCGTTTCGGTTCGTATTTGATGTACAAATTTAGCCGAGTGAAATCTATCGAATCAATTGAGAATCGATCGATTTTTGGTAATAATTCAACAACAACAACAACAACTTGTATGGTGGATATGTTTTTTTTATTGTTGATTTGGTTTATAAATGATAAAAACACGGAATTACATTTTTTTTTTGTAAATCTTGTTCGAACACAAGTTGTAACTAAAAAAAATCAAAT